TATATATATATATATGTGTATATATACATACACACACTTGTATTTATATAAGTATATATATGTGGTAGACGCTTTACCCTGTTCCCTGCAAAAGTGACGGGCAAGTATAAGCAACCATGTTATGCAACTATGTTATGATGCAATACCATTTCGTTATATATGTAGTTGAAGGATCAGCATTGGGAACTTCAAGGTTCGTATTAAGATTATATTGTTAGATGCAAGGCTTGGGGGTTTTTTATGTTACGAATGCATCTACAAGCACATCTTTATACAGTTGGTTCTACAGTGCGAGTGATTTGGTTTGGATATGTACACACGCTTACGCGTTATGGAGTGCATGTGCATCCAAGGAGTATATAGAGGTACTGGGAAATATTTTCATCAGCTGTTCAGGGGGTGTGTAGGGTTCTGGGTTTTAGGGTTAGGCAATCTCAGGTTAAAACACTCGTCCACGCAACAAGAAATCGGACCGCAAATCCTTGATATGAATACATATTATCATGTGACACCTTTCTCTCAGGAAAAGTACAGGACAAATATGCTTACCAAAGCGTATCTCCTCCTGATATTCTTATTGTATCGCACGTTCAACCTATGTATGCCTTCCGTCAATTCACTCATTGGTCAAAGTATTGTATTCAGTACTAGCTTAGTAGAGCCCATATTCAGAATGCCCATATCCAAAACTTAACGGTAGTGTCGTACTCACCACGAATTGTATCCGTGGCTTGTACAGGACCCGACACTTACGCCGCTGCCTCGGAATTCATCCGGGAGATGTTCGAGTCCATGAACAGGGGAACGGAAAACACCATATACTCCCACTTCACCTGCGCCACCGATACTGAGAACATTCAGTTTGTGTTCGATGTCATCACGGATGTCCTCATCCAACGCAATTTCAAAGAAGTCGGTCTGATGTAAACGATGTAGAGGTTGCGAAGGACTTGAGTGGTGGCATGTATGCGGGGAGGTAGGGTAGTAACCGGGCGGGTTGGTAGTTGTTCATATGGGCGTGTCTATGGCCATGTGCTGGCGTGACACGCTAGTACAAATATACACGCAGGGTAAGTCTAGTACCCCTGGATCAGGAGTGTCTATACCCCCGCCCACCCCCCCCGGCTCTCTGTGAAGGCGAGTACGCGACCCCCCCCGGCTCTCTGTGAAGGCGAGTACGCGGAAACCCGCGTTTGTTGTACAAATAAAGTGTAGTGATCGCGTATGGGATCGAATACTGTATAAGAAAGTTGCCAATTTTTGTTCCAAGATTTTAGGGGTTAGTAAATCGGCACGTTGGTAGACCGCTTTCATGAGTGTTTATCGACCGAAAATAGTCTATATGATATGAACACATTTGGTTTTTTCATATCTAATAATCTCATCTGATTGTACAAGTTTACTAGCGAGTCTATTCAATCTTAAGTATTTAATAGATGTGTGTGGCGCATGCTCAACAGATATGTACACAGCGTGAGCACATTCCACGTCGAGCAAT